ACTTTATTTTATTTTTTATTTTATTTTTTTTGGACGCCCCCCCCCCACCCCGAGGACATTTAATGAGCAACCTCGGCTGATTTCGTGGATTTAAACAAAGTGTTACTACTCTTCTCACGTGGATTCACGCTGGTTGAAAGATTTAATTGCTTCATTCAGAACAGGGAAGTCCTTTCGTTCAAATTACACACACACACACACTCACACACAGAGACAGAGGTTATTTCAGTTTTTCTCCCATTGAAACTTCATAGTAAACGCACAATATATATATATATACTTGAAGGAAACCTTATTTCCACAGAGCACGCCTAACACAACCTACTTTGGTAAACTGCAAAAATCCAGTGAATCTTTCAGATCTTTGTGACTAGTATGTTTTAACTTATTTTGTACAATAAAGCTTTGAAATTTTCTTAGCCTAAATATTATTCCCAAAAGCAAGACATTCCTGTGTGCATACTATTCTGAGTGCCCTTATAAATCTCTCCTGACATCTGTGTAAACAGTGTACATTTTCAGAGGCTCTTTCGTGCCATTTGAAACTCTAATATGAACGATCATTTGTTCCTGCATGGCATCGAATTGATATTGGATGTTTCTCATCGGAAATAATCAAATCCAGAATATTTAGGAGTATAATTGTTTATTTTTCTTCATATGATTTTTTACGCCATTATTTATTTGTTTAAAAAAACGTGTACATTTTCGTATAGCACACATACAATTTTAATTAAAAGTATTCGTTCAACTTTTATTAATCTAAAATATGTTTGAACTCTTGTGCATTATTAGCATGGCTTTATGCAAAAGTTTTAGTCTTAGTTAACATGGGAATCTTTAGAGTTTTTCATTTACACCGAGCTAACCGAGGGGGGCTTTCACGTCACGTTTCAAGACAGATATTTCTTGTTTTGTACCGTCATTGTCTTCGGACAAAAAAAAAAGCCCAGAAGCTCTCCCAGTATACGAGGAGGTCTTCTTTTCTGAAGTCTTTACGATGAGAGAGTTGAAAAGGTATTTCAACCGAAGGTCGACAAAGCAGCAGTGGCAGGTTCATCCAGGGGACACATTTCAGCCGCAAGGACTGACCCCAACACCCCCTGACCCGCCGGACAGGCAGCATTTTCTCTCCCAGGCTCTGTTCGCTTTGGTTTGGAGCGCTTTTCCACACTTAAAAAAAGCCAAAGCATTCAAAGCAAGAGTCAGTGCGTGAATTCCATAGTTTTACACGTGTTTTAACAGTATTTATATCAGGCGAAGCCCCCAAAAGGTTCTGATTTGTGCATTTGTCTCCTCATGTCAATATGCAATCTTTTTTGTTTTATTTTTGTACATGCTTTTTACCTTGTATTGTGCATTGAGATTGCGAGAAGTATATTGGAAAAAATAAAGATTTCTACTGATTATGCATTTACATGATTGCTATGGGCACTTTGTCCGAATATTTTTATTTTCTCCACTCCACTTATTGTGAGGAAATGTTTTCCCGGGCCCACTGAGGTATTTTATAATTTCTCTTATGGTTCATAACTTTCTTTTATTTATTTCTTTTTAATTTGGTTATTTAGTGTCAGTCGGTTTGCTCCATTTACAAAAGGATAACTTTTGGTGGGAAAAAGAGTTTTTCTTGAGTGGCAACAAGCACGTGGAGCCATATGGACCCAAAGCCCCCTTTTACAAAACATCCACAAATGCACCAAATGTGCGCTGCATTTGTAAATCCAGCCTCTTCTTCTGTCAAGCATGACATTTACGAGCAAAAATATATCAGTGGTCTACGATAAGTGTAGCATTTCTTTAAAAAACATGTTAAAAAACGTCTTTATTCTCTGGCTTGTCTTAATTTTCATTCATTGGCTTTTATCGAAAGGAGCGCATGATTGCGCAAAAAAACATCCACATAGGCTCTAAGTGGAGCTTTTCAGTGTGATTTTATTCCATGAAAACTGCTTTTGGTTTCTTATTAGACTTTGAATTGAGTCTTTATTGCAAAAAGAGTTGTCATTGAAGTCTTTATTATGGAATAGAAACATAAATGAAGTTTCCTGGCCTGGTAGATTCAAATACAAACTCTTTCAGCGGTGGTGGCCCTGCTCTAAAAGCAGATTACGCTACATTTATCAGTCATTGTTTTACACACATAATGAACAACCACACAGATTTGATATTAAACCCCTCTCCTGCTTCATGAGCTATGGCATTATTGAATATGACCCACTGCAACAATGACCTCCGACCCTCCACACTACACAATCAGTTCTGATACAAACAATAGTGGCCATAAACAGACATGTGGAAAAACAATCTTCAGCAGTGTTTTCATCCCCAGCGACCACTGTCTGATCCCCACTGAGCGCGTGCGGGCTTATAGGCGTGCACGGGCGCTTATATGTTTCTGTGTGTGTGTGTGTGAAATACAAGTGGAAGGAGGAGGATGGATGGAGGGATGTCAACTACAGAACAGCACATGCACTGACCACATGAGCCTTTTGATAAGCTGTGAGCATGTTGGGTATTTTGTCTTTAACACAGGGAACAGCACAACAACATCACAAAGCGAAGACATCTGTAGTAGTTTCTAAATCATCTTTATTTATTTTGCCATCATGTTCCATATAGGTTTTAATGAACACTAATATATATCATAGATAACATAAAAACATGTCTGTTCTCTATGTAATTAAATTTACAGAGAGACTTTCTGTATATATATTTATAGATATATACATATCTCACGAAGCTTCCTGATTTTATGTATATGCTCGCCATAGCCCTATAAGAAATAGATCAAGAAAAATAAATATGAAGTACAGAAGTCCATATACATATTCTGTATTGTAAATTAAAACTTATCAAACCAGATTCCACAAAATATGGAACCAAAGAGCTTATTTGATTCTGGTACATAAACTGAGGCTTCAAATTGCAAGCTCAAGAACTCAGGACAGATATTAAACAATGTCTATTTCGGGATAACCCACAAAAACGTAAAGCAAACGTACCAAAAACATACTGCTAAAGGAATGATATTAGTATACTCAAGATAACGATAAAGGAAATTCAATTTTAGTAAACAGTTACAAAGATTAAATACTTTGTACAGGGTAAATGCTTGTAACTAATACTATTCTACCTGTGTACCCTAGGTGTGGCCATCAAAACTGTCTAATTCTAATTTATTCTTAATTCTAATTTTAAAAAGAGCTATTTGGACAGTTTTGAAACAACGTACGTGAACACAAATCATGAATGAAAACAACTGACAAAAGTGATCAGTGATAACAGTGGGAACTATGAGGAGTGATTTTTTTAGATCTACAGAGCAATAACGAACAAAGTAAGGAACGAAAAACATCTGAAACAGGCAACAAAACCTCCAATGTTACAGATAAGTTACTAGTTTTGGGTTTACTGGCAGTCGGTCAGACTGGTGAGGTAACTGACTTTCAGTGAATGTGAGACCTTTCAAAGACTCTACTGTACAGCAGAGAAATCTTTAAGGAAATCACAGGTTTTCTTGTGGACAATCTCACGAAGCTTCCTGATTTTACGAGTGCTGGAGGAGCCTACAAAGCTGTCGGGCTGCAGGACGGCCATCCCGTTGTGAACATCCCCCATGATGATGAGCTGCCCGTTGGCTGTAGTAATATTAGGGCAGGGGCAGTTCCAGTCCATGTTCAGAAGAGTCACCTCCAAGGGCTCTTTACCAAAGAACCTCAGGCCCATCTTCTCATCCTTCAGAATCTCCTCCACTGTCACCAAAGCGTGGCCTGACTCCTGCTCCTCTGTCAGCTCAGTCACACGCCCGAGGATCACAAAGTCACTCTTGCAGAAGCTGGTGACCATCTTGCCTCGAGGTTTACACATCTTGCAATTGTGGTTCTTTGGAAAGGGACACATCTCTTCACAGGCCTCTTTAGACTCGAAGTTGTTCTCGTTGCCACCGCAGCCTCCATACACGAAGGACTGGCACTTTTTAAGGCCGTTGCTGTAAGCCCAGCGAGGCTCATACGCCTTGCAAGGCCCTTGGAGGCTCGGTAGGCTGCAGGGAGCTGCCAGCTCTCCTCCGCACGACAGCATGCAGGCTTCATAGGTGTCAAAATGGTTACGGTTTTTATTGCACTGACTGTAGGTGAAGGTGAAGCAATTGTTCCTCTTTGGTTCATAGTACCAGCTCATGCTCTCCTCCCCACAGTCGTCTGTGTCTGGACTCTTAAGGCACTCTTCAGCTGGAAATGGCAGGTTGGTACTATTCCCCTCTGCGTTCTTACCTTTCGCTTCTCTTTTGAGCACTACCAAGGGAAAGTGTGATGATATGCTTCCACCCACATTTTTGGCGGTGCACGTATAGATGCCGGCATCCTGAAGTTGCGCATTGTATATGACCAGCTGGCCAATGTTGGTGACCACAACGTTCCCTCTGACATGATTAGGTCTCATTACTGTGTTCTCTTTGCCCTTCAGTTGTTTCTCCCAGGTGATTTCTGGACGTGGCTTCCCAGTCACCTCACACAGAAAGCTAGCTGTCTCACCCACAAAAACAGCCTGTTGGGTGGGGCCAGTGTGTATGGTGGGGAGCTGGATGTCAGCTGGGAGAGTGGTCTGGAGGGCAGTGGTGGGATGTAAGGTGGTCTCTGGAGGGATTGGACTGGTGTTGGGCCAGGTCAGGTGGTACCTGTAAGTAGGTTGAATAAGAAAGGAATTAATCAGAGCCAGGACGCATCAAAGGCTCTTCTTTAATTACTATATGACTGTATTAATACATGTATTATTCCATGCTACAGCCAGAAAAAAGGTTTTCAAATGTCTTAATTTTGAGGACTAAAACAAGACAACTTTACCTCGTAACACCAAAAACAAATAGTAGAGATCTTAAATACTTAACATGTTACCTGCAGGTGACCTCAGAGATAGAGATACCCTTGGAACAGGCCTCTGCATCCATGTAGCACTTGTTATAATAGGTCATGCCGTCAGATGCACATGTGAAGTGGGGTTCTCTCTCACAGCGGTCCCGGCACTTACAAACAGGCTGGCCATCCCAGATGTCGCACTCTGACCCTTGCTGAGAGCACATGAACTTGTCGCAGGTGGCGCCCTTTGGCATTCCAACGGGGCCCTTGTTGCCCTTGATGTCTATATAGCGTGCTGCCACACAGCTCTTGTTACCACAGACATTAGGGCAGCACTTCTCAAATGACTCACAGTCCTACAGTTGGAAAAGAAAGAAAACCTTTTGTACCACATACCAGCATATTTATCCCTGTTACAGTTGAGATACAGAAATCCTGCATGAAACTGAGAAACTGCTTTGATTCTTGGTGAGATTCTTCTTTACAAAACACCTCCTGCTGATTTCATTGTGATGAATTTAGATCAGAGGGTTCTTTAAATAAAACAGCATGAATAGAAATAAATAAATTTAGTTAGAAATGTGTAACATTACATAACCACTATGATTATTTATGTTGAACTGTTTTTCTTTCAACCCCCAGGCAGCAGCTCATGAACACTGAAAAGGAAAACAGGAATTGTTGGGCACTGAGACAATCTGATATGATGGACATTTTGGATAGATAGATAGATAGATATATTTTGTTAAAACGTTCTTGTTTTAAGAGCTGGCCACACAGCCTGTTTCACAAATATTCTTCCAACAACAGCAACAACGGGCTGTCTTTACGTCTAAGCACCTATGCCCCTTTGTCTACACATTTCACAGCTTTCACCGTTTCATCAGCTGCAGGTCTACTCACCTGGTCGGATTCACACTCGCGCATGCAGGTGCTCATTGCATCCACCCACAGGTTGGGGTTCAGGTCGTTCGGGCACAGACCTGCGTGAGAGTACACCACTTTTGCCACAGACATGGGCATGGGCATTGCTCTCACGCGGCAGCTATCCATATAAAGGAGAATAGTGTAACAATGTCCCAGAAGAAACCAAATCCATCGGGGAAACAGCATCCACCACATATCCGGCGCGTAACAGGACGGAGAGTAAAAAAAAAAAAAAATCTTAAAATACAACAACTTTAACTCGACTTTAAAGTTTTGAAAAACTCTTTAAACTATCTCCAGACTGTCGCGTAATTGATTTTCTAACCACTGGAATCAGACGCAGAGTTAAAAACAGCGGAAAGAGGAGCGTCCGGGACCTGTCACGATGTGGAAAGCTCCTCCAGGTTAGTCGCTCCACGTTTAATAGTAGCAAGAGATTAGGGCTGCGGTGAGCAAACCCACTTAAGATCTAACTACATGAATTACAGTGGCCTGTCTAGTCGGACAGCAAATCCCAGCTGAGTTACAGTTATGATCAACTTAATTAAAGAAAAAAAAAAAGGGAAAAAAAAGTTCGCCAACAGTTTGCAGCCGCTGTTTCATAGAGGACTGGCGAGACACCTGTGCGTAAGGCGCTGGCTGCCTTAACCCTTAGCTTGCAAAGTCAGTGCAAAGGAGTGGATATTTAGCAATACTATATAGTATATATATATTAATATATATACACTATAAGTATAGTGAGTAGCATTTGCTTTACAATGTAGGCACGATCTAGCATTTTGGATGTTCACACATTTTAATAAGTGCAAAGATAAAAGGTACTGAATAGAGCCTATACAATGACTGTGTATTGTAATGTATTTATTTTTTAATATATTTTGTATTATACAGTCACATTGGCCTTTATTTTCACGTTATCTGTGTTAAAAGACTTCACCTTAAATAGTTATAATTGTGTAGTGTTTCTTATTATAAGATGCTTTTGTTCAATAATAATTCTATCTGTCTTGTCATATTCATCACATTAAACGCAGTAGTGTATGATAATACTGTGCACTATAATACTGCATGATAAATATGCACCACTGTAAAATCTCTCCTGTCCATCTGAACAAAATGTCAGTCTCCAGAAGATGGCACCAAACTCTGGTTTGACTTCTGCATTCAAAGTGAACCAAGCAGTGCAAGGTACATTTAAACAGCTTTAGTAGATTTAAGTGTAGAGGTGGTTACATTATGGATTATTAATTGATAGTTACTTATTTGCACCATGGGATTACAATCCGGATAGTAACCCACCCCCCCCTCCTCTTATTTCATCCTATTTTTCCTCCTCTTCTTCTTTTTCTCTAAAGGTTTCTGTACCTCAAAAACTATACTGCCATACTGGATTTTCTACATAATGTTGGGGCCCAACCTATTGTGCAAAATCCAGCTGATGTAGAATTGTGTATGATTTTATTGTCTCCATATCTGATACCAAGTAATGTACCATTCAGGTGATTCCAGTGTGATGATTCAAATGTTAAAACATGCATCCTCAAACAGTTTAGTTTGTGTTGTGAAATGTCCTTCATTCTGCTGTTTATATGAATCAACCACTGCAAATCTTTGGAAATGCCAACTAGTGAAGTGCAGTGATGCTGAGTATATGCTTGACATATAAAATGGTGTGAAATGTTCTAATGTGCTGGCTCAGTTTGTAACAGTCTGTTTTGTCATCCAGGACAGGTGCAACCATGACATTTCATGATGACTTGAACAACATGCATGCCAAACATCCCAGTTTGACAACACTTCATCACACAGATGGAATATTAAATTGTATTAAAGATAAAGCTTGTAATATGAGGAAGACTTGTTTTATTTGAGCTACAGTAAAGGGTATTCCTAAATTACTATGAGGCTCTGTCACGGTTTGGTTGGATCTGCATAATCCTTTTTTCTTTTTTTCTGTTCATGTTCTCGGGCCAAACAGAGAACAAGCGTATTTGTTTTGAAGCCCCTTTTTCTGCAGCACTTCCTGGAATTGGCTTTTGGGGAACAAATCCTTTTTTTCACAGCATGAGATCAAACTGTCTGTACTACTTCTTACATGTCAATATTGTGATAGCACAAGCCTGACGTGCCTTGAGCACGCAAGTTATCACTAACCCTACTACATTCCAACACTGAAAATGCTTTATATATTAAATAGCATTTAAACAGGATTTTGATTAACTTAAGCCAAAAGTGCTAGTAATTGGAGTACGTAATGATCAAAATGGATCTGTAATGTTTTTAATTAAAAGGGGAAAAAAGCAACAATTTAGTGGCCTCATTGTGAGTGTACATGTGTGTGTGTGTGTGTGTGTGTGAGTATGGGGTCTTTGCTTCCCAAGATGGGTCCCTGCTGAGCCCAAAGAGGCTCAGTGTTATCCAGGCCGAACCCTGCAGTCTCAGTCTGGTCTATGTCTGTGAGCCCCCCCTGAAAACACACACATACACTCAGGTGAGACTCATGCACATGCATGCAGAAAAAGTAAATAATGAATATGGTAAACACTGATCATTTAGCTGGGGATATTAACGATTTACAGGGATTTGCTTAAATAAAATTACAGATTACATACATTTCACTTATTGCACACACACACACACACACACACACACCACACACACACACACACACATAACACGGTATGTGCACACTCTCAATTTCCTGCAAATACACAAACACAGTCAAGCTGTGTTTTCAGTGTCTGCTCACCCACTCACCCCCTCAGGCCTTCCACCCCTAACCTTCACCCCTCAAGACCCTGCATTCCCAGCATAGCCGACACTGGGGCTACAGGGCATGTCACATATTGAATAACGCCACACGGTGGACGCCACGCAGGGCGCCCCAACAGTCTATCTTCCTTCAGCACATGCATTGTCTGCAAACAGACCTTGACTT